ACAATATGTACACACATAGAACATAGAACATACATTACAGGATAAAGCAATAAAACCGTTTCAGTAATGGCTTCTTCAAATCTTTAACATTAAAAAAAAAACTTGCCATAAATTAATTAGAATTACTTCCTGCTCTTAATAACCTGAAGTTACATATATACATTTGCCTCAGTTGGCACCTGTAGTCCCATATTGGCTTTATCTGCTTACAGAACTGTCCCAAAGTATTGAACACAGTAGAAGTCAGGGAAAAAGAAGTCCTTTGGGACTTAAAAGAGAACACATTTAAACACAGAACCAACAATGTTTTAACTTCCATGAGCAATAATCTGATTTTTAGTGTTTGGAGAATACAAAATGTGGATGACAAAAGGCTTTAAATAGCCATGTTTAAAATTATAAACTCATTAACCAACAAGAGGCACTGGCTTTCTCCACACAGTATTTTTGAAAGCACCTGTAAGATTTTATAAAAACATTTATTCCTTTTAGGCCTCTGGGCCTTTTTAATTAAAATAAGCATCATGTCTGATAACAAGATCATTAGACTTTTGTAACTTTTGGGCATTTGTATCAGTAGCATTTTGCATTGTCATAACTTAAAATTTAGCACCACTTCACATCTTGACAGTAGCTTTAATTTAATCCACATAGCCTGATTAGCTGGTGTCTCTACAAGATGAGAGATATATCCTTTGACATTTCCAAGAACCCAACAGGAAATACCAAAGTCCAAGAAATTTGGAACTTTGATTTTTTTTTGAATGCCTGTCAAAGATGCCAAGAAGGCTTAAAATATCTGGTAGAAACAGCATCCCTTAGCATCATGGCATAACATAGACCAGATACGATCATTACTGTAAAGGGATCGCTCAAATGCTTTAGAGTAAGTATATACTCAAATAAAACTTTAATACAAACTCAGCTGTTTTGAAACAGAACTTAACAGAGACAGTAGAGAGCATAACACATTCAAAAAATAAAACCAATAAATCCAAAAAGTAAAACCTTAAACATAAGGGTTAACACATGGAATCCTTTGGAAATCAGTACTTGGAAAATGTTAACAGAATCAGAAGTGGGGAAGAGAAGAGAGCTTACTGGAGCTGGTTAGAAAACCGTCACCAATTAAACAACAACTATTCAAAGGAGGTGCTGCAGTTTGTAAACAGATTGTGGTGTTTTGTTTTGTTTTGTTTTGTTTTGTTTTGTTTTGTTTTGTTTTGTTTTTGTTTTTGTTTTTGTTTTTGACAGGCAGAGTGGACAGTGAGAGAGAGAGACAGAGAGAAAGGTCTTCCTTTGCTGTTGGTTCACCCTCCAATGGCTGCTGCTGCAGGCGCACTGTGGCCGGTGCACTGCGCTGATCCGAAGGCAGGAGCCAGGAGCCAGGTGCCTCTCCTGGTCTCCCATGGGGTGCAGGGCCCAAGCACTTGGGCCATCCTCCACTGCACTCCCGGGCCACAGCAGAGAGCTGGACTGGAAGAGGAGCAACCAGGACAGAATCCGGCGCCCTGACCGGGACTAGAACCTGGTGTGCCAGAGCCGCAGGCAGAGGATTAGCCTAGTGAGCCGTGGCGCCGACCTGTAAACAGATTTTGAAAACAGATTTAGGGCTGTTTCCAAATGTTTCTGCTGATCTCCTTGACTTACATTTTGAAATAATGCCTTAAAAATCTCCAAATTAAGACATTTTCTAAATAAGATAACATAGTTATTCTTTTTTTTTTTTTTAAGATTTATTTATTTTATTTGAAAGGCAGAGTTACGAGAGGAGAGAGAGAGAGAGAGAGAGAGAGTCTTCCATTCGCTGGTCACTCCCCAGATGGCCACAATGGCCGGAGCTGAGCCGACCTGAAATCAGGAGCCAGGAGCTTCTTCTGGGTCTGCCAGATGGGTGCAGGGACCCAAGGACTTGGGCCATCTTCTACTGCTTTCCCAGGACATAGCAGAGAGCTGGATCAGAAGTGGAGCAGCCAGGACTCAAACTGGTGCCCATGTGGGATGCCAGCACATGCCCACTACGTCACAGCGCCAGCCCCCACATTGAATTCTAACTTTAGGTACTTTCAAGCAGTTTTGAATTAGTTTTCATAAATGATAGTTTATGAAAACATATGTTAGCAAACCCAAATAGTTTTTCCATAGACTGTAAGATGAAAAGAGTACCAATGTTTACATTTAGACACATTTATCTCATTTACTTTTACCCAATGTACATTTATCAATTACACCTTGATGATTTAAGATGCTGATATTATGTCATATCTTTATCTGAATTAAGATCAAAATTACATTTATATGGAAGTCTGCTCCTTTTTATAAAACTCTAGCTGGAAATCAGAGATTGCAAAGTCTGCTTTAGGGGGCATATAGCAAGAGCTGATTTCCCATGGCTATTTTATCCAGATCTGTTTATCCACACCTTTTATCCGCTTCCAAAAGGGGAGTGGTTGCATAATCTAATCAACAGGTGGGTGTGTACAGGTAAGATCAGGTAGGGACATAAGATCTCACAGGGGGCAGGAGGGGGCATGGTTTTCCAGCTCATGAGTCTAATTGATTTAATCCTATCTGCCTGCCTGTATCATAAATACTTGGATTCCTGCCACGCATGTGGAGGACCCAGATGGAGTTCTTGGCTCCTGGCTTCAGGAGCCAAGCTCTTCCCACAGCTCCAGGTGTGACGCAACAGCAGGGCAAGAATGCTCTTGGCCACCGCCGTGGAGCAAGGAAATAAGTCATGGGGTGGTCACTGTGGGCTTTGGGACATTTTCATCAACAGGCCCCTGGCTGGGCGAGCTGTGGTTTATCCACACACCGGGATGCAATCATGCTCTTAGAGATAAACGGCTGACTCACACCTGACGTAGGACAAGTTCCAGGAAACACTGTTCAGTAAAAAAGGCAAGAGACACAGCCATAGGCATATTTTCCACATTTTACGTGTATGTCTATGCATACGCTTGGCAAATTTCTAGGAAAAAAATACAGGAAACTGTTAACCGTGAAAGTACCATGAGGCCCTGGGGTTCCACGGAGGCTGGCGTTCAGTTGCGTGTTCTTTTGTACTGTTGGGTATCTTACTGAGTGGGATGCCTTTTCAATTAAAAAAAAAAAAAAGAGCATAGGATAACCACATAGACAGAAAGATGTGGCGGCACTGGTCACCGGTGAGAGACTGTCAGTGCCAGCTGTATCTTGGGACCTCGGCCCAGCTAGCCAGGAAGTCATGGGGGTGCCAGAGGCTCAGAGGTGCACAGTAGCTTGGCCTCACTGGCAGGGAGTGGGGAGATAGCAAAGGAGGAGAGCGGTGGGCGGTGGGTACACAGGGGAGGGTGATCATTGTGGCTTATTTGAATTCTCGCTTCTCCGGGAGGCCTGGGTGGGACATGCTGGCCTTGAGCTGCTCCACGGCCACCTCCTGGATATGAGTCCGCACAGCAAGGATGCATCCCCCCTTGCCTCCCAGGCCTGCCTCCGACTCCATCCCTGTGCGGTCAGAGCCTGGGAGTCTTGGTCCTCCCGTCCCTGAGGCCAGCTCTGATTTCCTGCCTGCCTAAGCGCCTGTGTTTGCCCTGTGGGGACTTCAAGCCCTCGCTTGGTTCCAGACACCAAGTCCTTCCGAACTTTGAATCCCGCAGAAGGAGTGTGGAGACTCTGCCTGGAAACCCCAGCGAGAGTTTTACTGCTTTTCTTGCCTCTGGGTGAGTCAAATGTTCCTCCTGAGCCAATGAAAGGGGAAATAAATCCGAGTCCAGGGAAATCCGATGCGATGATTGCCTGATTCCTATGCTCAGGGAAGCCGTCAGTTCTGTCCAAGCACGGGAAGGCGGGCGGGGGAGGGCAGGGGGCAGAATGAGAGCGTGGTTGGGTCCTGGAGACGGCGTTCCAACCCGTCCTCAAGCTGCACCTGAAGCCAGCCCTACCGTGGTTTTCATCTTCCATTATGGGGAATTCTTTTCTGGTTAAACCAGTTTGGGTCAAGATTTTGTGTTATCATCATGACATTCAACAGAAGGATTCCAATCACAAGAAAAAAAAAAAAAAGGAGTACGTTTGCATGTTCGTACGAAGTACGGTCCACTTTTGTAAAAGAAAGACGTGTGTGTGTGTGTGTGTGTGTGTGTGGTGCAGAAAGAAGGAGGCCGCGAGTCTGGAGTGACGTCCAGAACGTGCCTCACCGAACCGTCTCTTGGCTTTCTCGTGGTCCAGTAGCACATCCGGGCATCCACTCTGATTCCCACTGCAGGCACAGCATGCAGTCCTTGGTGGTGCCATTGAGCACGCTGCTTGCAAACCTACTTGATGATCTGGCCCAACAGCAGGCTGACAGGAGTGCTCTGAGCATGTCTGAGGTAGCAAGGCTGAGCTAGGGTGGACACAGCAAACGCAGTTCCATCTTACCCTGGGCTTATGTGACCCCACCGTCCATGCAGAAGCAGCCACACACGGGTCACAGTGGTTCTGTCTGGGTGCCGTGCCTAGAGGGCATTTTCCTTTTCTGTGTTTTGTAATTGGGATTCCATTCATACCAATAGCTGTGTGGACGTGTTTATTATCCTTGACAAAATCACTTGAGGGGCTGGCGCAGTGGTGTAGCGGGTAAAGCCACCACCTACAGTGCCGGCATCCCGTATGGGCGCCGGTTCAAGTCCTGGCTGCTCGACTTCCAATCCAGCTCTCTACTATGTCCTGGGAAAGCAGTAGAAGATGGCCCAAGTCCTTGGGCCCCTGCACCCACGTGGGAGACCTGGAAGAAGCTCCTGGCTCCTGACTTTGGATTGGCTCAGCTCCGGCCACTGTGGTCATCTGGGGAGTGAGCCAGCGGATGGAAGACTCTCTCTCTCTCTCTCTCTCTCTCTCTTTCTCTCTCTGTCTGCCTCTTCCTCTCTGTGGCTCTGCCTTTCAAATAAATCAATATTTAAAGAAAAAAAATCACTTGGGTCCGTGACTTGAGGAGGGCGAGAGGAAGGCCCTCTAACCTGTGGCTCGTGTTGCAGGTGAGAACATGACCCAGCTGAACGCGAGCCAGAGCTGCTCGTTCGAGGACGTGGACCAGCTGATGTACACCCTGCAGCTGGCAGTCCACATCCCCACCTTCCTGCTGGGCCTCCTGCTCAACGTGCTGGCCATCCGCGGCTTCAGCTCCTTCCTGAAGAGGAGGTGGCCGGACTACAAGGCCACCTCCATCTACATGATCAACCTGGCCATCTTCGACCTGCTGCTGGTGCTCTCGCTCCCCTTCAAGATGGTCCTGTCGCAGGTGCGGCCCCCGGTGCCGGCCTTCTGCACGCTGGTGGAGTGCCTCTACTTCGTCAGCATGTACGGGAGCGTCTTCACCATCTGCTTCATCAGCCTGGACAGGTACCTGGCCATCCGGTACCCATTCCTGGTCAGCCACCTGCGGTCCCCCGGCAAGATCTTTGGCATCTGCTGCACCATCTGGGGCCTGGTGTGGGCCGGGAGCATTCCCATCTACAGCTTCCACGGCGAGGTGGAAAAGTACACGTGCTTCCACAACATGTCGGACGGCACGTGGAGCGCCAAGGTCTTCTTCCCTCTGGAGGTGTTCGGCTTCCTCCTGCCCTTGGCCGTGATGGGCTTCTGCTCCTCGTGCAGCATCCACCTCCTGCGGCGCCGCAGGGACTACACCCAGGACTGGGTGCAGCAGAGGGCCTGCATCCGCAGCATCGCCGCCAGCCTGGCTGTCTTCGTGGTCTCCTTTCTGCCCGTGCACTTGGCCTTCTTCCTGCAGTTCCTGGTGAGGAACGGCTTCATCGTGCAGTGCAGGGCCAGGCAGAACATCAGCTTGTTCCTGCAGCTGGCCTTGTGCTTCTCCAACGTCAACTGCTGCCTGGATGTCTTCTGCTACTACTCTGTCATCAAAGAGTTCCGCATGGACGTCAGTGCCCGCCGGCCTTCCAGGGTGCAGCTGGACACCGTGACTACCAGGGGCTAAGGGGGGAGGGCCCTGCTTGGAGGAAGGAGACCCCAGCCCCGAATCCTGGTCTCGGCTGTCCTGTGGCCGAGGCTGCGATGTGGCGGTGTGACTGCAGCCCGCCCACGGCTGCGCTTCCCCCCCGCCCACCGGACACCATTTCCACTTGTCATTCCCCAGAGCCCTTTCCCCAGCACCCAGACGGCGCAGCACAAATCACCCCGTGGTGGGGGCGCTCTGAGGATCCAGAGGCATTCCCGATGTCTGTGCCCAAGACTGGAGAAGGAGAGTGAGATCAATCCCAGCACGCCCTGTTGGTCTGTTAGAGGAGAAGATTCCGGAAAGAAAGAGGCGAGGAGGGAGGGACTCGGCTGAGCTGCTTGCAGAGGGGAGTGTCTTGGGCAGAGACGGAGTGGGAGTGGTAGGGCCGGCTCAGGCCCGTTTGCAGCTGGGGACCCCAGGGGAGGCAGACTTTTGAGCCTTCTGGTCCCATCCGGAGCTCTGGAAGAGAGGAGAGCAGGTGGGCGTGCCCGAGGAGGCTGCAGAGGATGAGGCCACGGGGAAGCGGTGGACACTTGGTGGCCACAGTGGGAAGACGGTGCAAAGGCACTGGTGACTCCTGAGAGCCAGGAGGGACAGGAGACCCATGGGGAAGGCAGGAGACAGGCCAGGGGCTGGCACGGACAGCTCCTCTGCCGTGGTCACGCTTCAGGGCGTCCACTGCATGGAGGGTCAGTGCCTCTCAGGGCGGGGGGGGGGGGACTGAGGGCAATGGCCCTGGGAGAGGGGTCCTCCTGAACACCAGCTTTCTGTCCCCAGCAAGTTGGGGAGGGGCTCTTCATGCATCCTCAAAAACGCTGAGCAAAGCATCGGGCTTGAGAGAAAGTGAGGCGCTGCATCTCTTGCTTGCTGGGCAGGTGGCAGGGATGGCGCGGCCCACAGAGCTGCTCCTCTCCAGCAGGGAATGGGGGACCGCGTCCTCAGAGGCCAGAGCAAGGGGCTCTGGGGCGCTGGGAACTAGAAACAAGTGTCAGGGCTCTGCTGGCCTAAGGACAGCCAGAGTGACAGTGACTCAGCAGCGAGTGGGCAGGGCGAGGAGTGCTGATGCCTCACCACGTGAGCCAAGCAGGGGAGAGAAGCAGCCTCCGCCCACCTGCCCTGGAGGCCTGGGTGGGGGAGGGGCAGCAGTGTGGGGAGGACTGGGACCAGGAGTGGGAGAAGGAAGGAGGGAGAGGGAAGAGGAGGAGGAGAGGAGGGAGAGGAGGGGATGGAAGAGGAGGCGGTCCTGTCACTGCCCTGGAGGGGAGGGGGATGAGTGGGGGCCTGGCAGGGAGGTGGAAGGCAGAGCTTCGTCCTGAGAGTCTGGCTCCCCAGCCAAGGGGCAGGCTCCCGCTGCCTCGTGCAGGGAAGGGTGTGGGACAGTGTCCCTAATGCTGGAGTCGCTGCACTGGGAGGGGAGCCAGAATCTGCTGGGGCTCTGCAGACCACAGAGGAGGCTCCGTGCAGCCTGGCTGCCTCCCCTCCCCCTGCCCTGGACACTCCTCTCCCTGCCTGTGGGCTGCACTGCCCCCACCCCCACCCCCGCTGTCCTCCTATGGCTCTCTCTGCATTGCCACGGGGAGCCCGGCTGGTGGCACCGACAGGGCAGCCTGCAGGTGCATGTGTGCCCATCGTCACTCAGGGCTAGCAGCTTCTTAAGAGGAGAAGCTCAGTGGGCCCCGACACCACCCCCTTCCCCAGCGACGTTCAAAGCTAGAATCTTGACTGTGGCCGCTGGGCCCCATCCGGGACAGAGCCGTTGCCCGTGAGCTGTGTGATGTCAGGGACCAGGCTTTGGAGGGGTGGCATCTTGTGTCGGTGGGCATGGTGCCCAAGGACCCTGTGGGGAGGAGGGGCCTTCTCCCTCTGTCTCTGGGGACCCACCCTGGCTGCAGGGCCTGGTGAGCAGGCATGGATCCCGTGCAGCAGGCCGGGGTGGGGGGCTGTCTTACACGAAGGTCCAGTCTCTGAGTAGCCATAGCCTGAGTGGCCCAGCACCAGCTGGGGCCCTGTGGCTGCAGCCCAGGGTGGATGGGGCGGCCCTAGTATTAACAGGCTCAGGCCTGGGGTGTAGCCTAGGGTGACTCCCCAGCAAGGGGCAGCCGGTGAGTTGGGGAAAGCCAGAACATGGTTCTGGCAAAGGGCAGAGGTGCTGGGCGCCACTGTTGGGCCATTAATGCGACCCTACTTGTGCTTCTAGTCTGAATGAACCAGAGACACACCTGCTGTATGTGCGCTTGGGAAACCAGCACAATTAATTGCAAAAGCCTTGACTGCTCTGATTTGCCAAATAAACAAATCCACACGATGCTGGGTGTCTCATCTTGGCCTACCTTTGTGGACACCCAGCAGGGTAACCCAACAATCTCCGTCCCTTCAGTGGCCAAGCAGACGCGTGAGGCTCCAGGGAGCGGCCCCCAAGCCCCCACCAGGAGCTCAGCTGGTCTGAAGCGAATGGTAAGAGGCAGGCCCTGCTGAGTCCAGCGTCTCCTCCCCACCCGCTGCAGGTGCTCTGCTCCCCGTGGCAGCAACTGGGCACCACAGACCCCACACGTCCACCACGGTGCCCCCGCCCTGCTCCTGCCGCCTGTCCCAGGAGGTCCAGCCTAAGAGGCCTGCTGGCCAGGGAAGGTTGCAGTGCCCGAGAGGGCCAGCCTCCGACGGCCCCCTTCTCCCACCTCCTGCAACGTGCATCCAGCTCTCTCAGGTCGGGTCAGCACTTTTCAGTTCCCCACATGGGAGTCTTGCGATTGGGAGCTCCTGGCCAGTGTGAGCTCCTAGACTCTGGCCTGCGCTGCCCCTTGCTCTGAATTCCCACAACCCCAGCACAGCCCAGTTGCTGCCGGGGTGCCCAGGGCTGGCTGGGGACAGCCTCGCTCCTGGACAGTCATCTCCGACCACCCCGGGAGCTGCCTCGCAAGTAGGCCACGTCCCCGGGGAAGATGTGACTTGGAGAATGTGTCCTCAACGGCGTTCGCCAGCTCTGTACCACTGGCGTCATCGCTCTCAGCAGCTGGGGGATGCTAAGGACATTTGGGATAGTGAGATCGACTCCAGCCTCAGGCATCCTGGTACCTCGTTGCTGCAAATAAACAGGAATTGTGTCCTGCTAGACAACCGCAGAGACTCCTGGAGGTTAAAAAGGATGAGTGAGGGAGACCCTGGGCGTTGTGTTATGTGGGTTAAGTCCTGGCTTGCGGCCCCTGCATCCCATAGCCAAGTGCTGGTTCAAGACCTGGTTACTCTGCTTCTGCTAATGTACCTGGGAGGAGCAGAAGACAACCCAAGTACTTGGGTCCCTGCCACCCTTGTGGGAGACCCAGAGAGTGTTCCTGGCTCCTGATTTTGGCCTGGCTATGGTGGACATATAGAAGGGGTATGAACCAGTGGGATGTAAGATTTCTCTTTCTGTCTCTCCCTCTCTCTCTGGCACTCTGCCTTCTGACTCAGTGTGCAAATAAAGCTTTAAGAAACTGGGCGAAGGGGCCGTGCTGTGGCGCAGTGGGTGAAGCTGCCGCCTGCAGCGCCGGCATCCCATATGGGTGCCGGTTTGAGTCCTGGCAGCTCCACTTCCAATCCAGCTCTCTGCTATGGCCTGGGAAAGCAGTAGAAGATGGTTCGAGGCCTTGGGCCCCTGCACCCACGTGGGAGACCTGGAAGAAGTTCCTGGCTCCTGGCTTCAGATTGGGGAGTGAACCAGTAGATAGAAGACCTCTCTCTCTCTCTCTCTCTCTCTCTCTCTTTCTCTCTCTCCTTCTCTCTTTGTGTAACTCTGACTTTCAAATAAATAAACACATCTTATATTTAAAAAAAGAAAAAAGGAAACTGGGCAGAGCCAGCGGTGTGGCGATGAGGAGAGACGGAACTGCATGGAGCTCCCCCCACCAGAGTGTGCTCAGCTGTGCCATGGGTGGCAGCCTTCCAGGGCCAAGGAGAAGCTGGCTGGGCCCTGGTAAGAAACCCATGGTTAAGGACAGGGGGCCCAAGGATCCCCAAGCCCCGCCCCCAAAATTGTACCTGCAGCTGCCTCTCAGGGAGCCCCAGACACAGAGCCCTGAACTGTTGCTGTGGATTCGTTCTGAGAAGAGGAGCACGGTGGGGGCAAGAGGCGCGGAGTCACCACACAGACCCCAGGAGTTGGGTGAAAGCAGGCCAGAGGTGAGCAGCCTGCAGACTCGTTTGTTTCAGTTGGTATAGCAGCTTATATAGCCGAGGCAGCCAACCTGGTCAAGGGGCAGTTTATGCCCTAACCAATCACAGCCTGTTGCCAGGCAGGCTCTGTTGCCAGGGGGTTTCCCAGGGGGTTTCCAAAGCCACTCCTGAGTAACTGATGCTTGCTTGCCAGCGGCCATCTTGGCATGGCCTTCTCATTCCACCACATTTCCCCCTTTTCATTTATTTTTGAGCAATGGGAGGCATGATTCTTGGCCATACCATTGTTGACCCCATTTCCATGTGGTTTCCATATGCAACTGTGCCTGTCTTAGGTTGTCCCCCAGGGGATCTTACCCATCATTGACTAACCAGCGCTCAAAACGGGAGACCACAGGAGTGCTTGCTCAGATACGGGTAGGAATGAGGAACAATGGTAATCAGGAATGGCATGACTGCACGCAGGCTGTGGGCCATTTGAGTGGCTGACCAGAGCTAAGTGGGGTATAAAGCAGTAGTGGATGTGGCTGTGAGCAGTTCCTCAGGGTAGGATGATAGGGCAGGTGCGTGGGCTAACAAGGCGGGCTCTCAGTTTTCTTCAGCTGGTCTGGTTGGCTGTCAGTTGCAGGCTTGATGTTTCTGGCTGGGACCCAAATGGGCTGTCCCGCATTCTCTGGAAAGACACAAGCATATCCTTGGCTCTTGGTTAGCAGAAGCCTTTTTACGGGCGATGGAATCCAGGGCCTAAATTCTGTGTCTGCTCCTACATTAACGGCAAACATACGGGTGGGATGGGGTCTAGCAGCTGCGCTGAGAGCCTGGGGTGCCTGGGGACTGCCACAAACATGAGGATCCTCACTGGGTGCGGATGGGATGGCCTCACATGAGTTACTGTCTCGAGGTCGTCTAAGTTCATCCCACAGGTATTTTGGGGGTAGCTGACCAGGCATTGCTGCGTTGTCTGCTGTCATGTCATTTTCACTGTCGGAGCTCTCTCTCCCTAAGTCATCAACTGTTGTCTGTGAGACAGGGACCTGGAGTGTCAGGCTCTTATCACTCACAGATTCATTATGTTTGGTAATCTGCGTGGGATTCTGAGAGGGAGGTATCTTTCCCATGTTTGAGTGCTTAAGAGCAGTACGCCACACCAACTCTAGCCAAAGGAAAGACACGCACAGCACTGCTGCCAGAATAAAGCAAATTCCTAGCACCTCAGCAGCTGATGGCATTCTGCAAGGGTTCCCTACGTTAGATGAACAGACAGGGGTGTATCAGATCGTATGTATGTCCTGTGCTTAGTGGGGGGACTTCCTTGATTTGTTAGGTCAAGGCCGTATGCCCACACAGTGTCTCAGGAGTGTCACCTCTCTCGAGTGAGGGAAGATGACTTGGTTCCGAATTCCGGGATGATCAGTCCCTTATGTGAATTCGCTGGGCGAACTGAAAGTAAAAGGAGGAGCTGAGAAGAGTTGTTACGCTTCTGGTTGGTGTGTGCTTAATCTGGGGTCACTTAGACCGAGGACAAGGACAAGGAAAGGGGTGTAGGAGGGGGTCCTGTGCTCACCCTCACAGAACCGAACAGCACACAAAACACCGAGGGGCCTACCTGCCGAAATCAAGGGGGGGACCGCGCCGAGTCTGACACGCTCGCTCTCTGTCACATTGGGTGCCAGGTGTTCGTTCTGAGAGGAGGAGCATGGTGGGGGCCAGAGGTGTGGAATAACCACACAGACCCTGGGAGTTGGGTGAAAGCAGACCAGAGGCGAGCAGCCTGCAGACTCGTTTGTTTCAGTTGGTACAGCAGCTTATATAGTGGAGGCAGCCAATCTGGTCAAGGGGCGGTCTATGCCCTAACCAATCACACCCTGCTGCCAGGCAGGCTCCATTGCCAGGTGGTTTCCCAGGGGGTTTCCAAAGCCACTCTGGAGTAACTGATACTCCCTTGCCAGCGGCTATCTTGGCATAACCGTCTCATTCCATCACACTGAACGGCTGTTTGAGGAAGCGTGGACTTTTACACAGATCAAGGGGGCTCTGGCAGCTTGCAGTGGAGGACTCGGCCCTCGCGTTGGGTCTGAGCCGCCCCTCCCAGGCCAGCAGCCTGCCTGCTGGGGTGCTGCTGAGGGAGGTGTCTTTCTCCCGAGCCATGATGGAAGCAGAAGCGTGGGCTCTGCATTGCAAAGTCTCGCCTCCTCCAGGAGGCAGGATCAGACTGGAAGAGCTGTCAATCCAAAGTGGCCTGGGCTCTGTGTGAGGGAGGGGCCCCAAGCGCACCTTTGGGGGTTCAGACCGCACCTTCATTCTGGGGGCTCTTGTGTAACCAAGATGCTCCCTGCAGGGCCGGAGACCCACACTGCAGAGGGCACGGCCACACAGAGGCCATCAGAGCGCTGTGCCAGGAGTGGTGCTGCACGTTCCTACTGACAACAGCCCTCAGACACACTCGTGTGTGTTTCTTGCTCGAGCTCTGTCTTTTTTTTTATTTTAAAGATTTATTTGTTTATTTGAAAGGTAGAGTTACAGAGAGGCAGAGGCAGTCAGAGAGAGAAAGTCTTCCCTCTGCTGGTTCACTCCCCAGTTGGCTGCAACGGCCAGAGCTTTGCCGATCTGAAGCAAAGAGCCAGGAGCTTCTTCTGGATCTCCCATGGGGGCGGGGGGGTCTAGGGGCCCAAAGACTTGGGCCATCCTCCATTGCTTTCCCAGGCCATAGCAGAGAGCTGGATTGGAAGAGGAGTAGCCGGGTCTTGAACTGGTGCCCATATGGGATGCCGGCACTGCAGGTGGTGGCTTTATCCGCTATGCCACAGCGCCAGCTCCTCAAGCTGTGTCTTGTGGAAGAGAGAGTAGGCACCACAGAGAATTTAGGACAGGTGCACAGGAACCCAACCCTACCCGGCCCAACCCCAGATGGCCCCACGTAGCTGACCCCCCCCTCGCCGGGCGCTGCATGTCAGCTGACCAACCACATGCCCCTTGTGGTCACCTGTTTTTCACTGTGGTAACAAAACGCAAAGGGCAGGCTACTTGCTAAAGAAAACAGCTTTATGTTGGCTATTGGCTTTGGAGGTGCGGGTTGAGAGGTCTCACCTGGCCGTGGCTTTCTTACTGAGAGTCCCCGGGCAGCCCAGAGCATCACAGAAGAGACAGGTGTGTGTGTGTGTGTGTGTGTGTGTGTGTGTGTCTGCTGGCCTCTCATGACGGGGTCACAGCTCACAGAGAGAGAGAAAAAGAGAGAGAGAGAGCGAGTGCACGGGCTCCTAACTGCTGGTTCATTCCCTAAATACCCGGAACAGCCAGGCTGGGCAGGAACCCAAATACCTGAGCCATCCCTGCTGTTCCCAGGGTCTGCGTTAGCAGGAAGCAGGTGCAGAACCCAGGCTCTCCCATGTGGGATGCAGGTGGACGCCGGCCCCTCACTTGGCCTTTGAGTCAGGGGCCCACAGCAGTCTGACAGGTAAGAGGCCAAGAGGAGCAGCCGTGGTGGGAGGTCCCGAGCCCCCACCCCGCATCCCTCTACTCACGCCCCCTCCCATGCTGGCAGCTGCACTAACCGGGGCTCCTAAGGAGTCTCCCCAGGCCTGCAGTGCGAGTGGCCGGGACTGTGGGGGTCCTGGCCCCTGCCCAAGCCCCACCCCCTGACGCCTCCTCTGACATGGGGCTCAGCGGTTAAGCAGTGTCCTGGAGCTAACCTCGGGAGGACGGCACGGGAGGGCGGGGATGCAGCCGTCAGAGCTTGGGAGCCTGGTGCCCATCCGCACTCAGTTCGAGTTATTCTGGGGGCCAGTGTGGGCCGTGGTGGGGGCATGCTTGGGGGCCTGAGGATGCAGTGTGGCCAATCAGGGCGGTGTGGGGGCCACCAGGGGGCAGAGCGAGACATCTTGTTCCAGGAGGATCACAGATGGGGGGCTGCATGGAGACAGTCGGGGAGGGCAGGCAGCTGGAGGCAGGGTGCCCAGGGTGCGGGTCCTTGGGACAGTCAGGCCGGGTGTCTGCCTCGCAGGGCCTCGGCCACTGCCCAGGCTGGCTCCAGCCTTCCTGGCTGCCGGCATCTCCCTCTGCTTCAGACAGCTACAGAGGCCCCCAGGGCCAGTGCAGGGGACTTGTTAGGAAGGAGCAGCTCAAGGACGGGGTTGGGGGGGTCTTCCCTGGCAGGGGGGCTTCCCTAGCCCTGTGACTGGTGCTCCACGGCTCCCAGGAGAGCGACGTGCAGGGGACAGGCCGAGAAGGCTGCAGGGACACCAGGGACACCAGGGAGTGATGCCCTACTCCAGGCGCCAATGCACACATCGCAACCCAGGGCTCCTCTCCTGTCTCGGCCGGGGTCCTCGGACCCAGCTTAGTACTTAGTTGTTAATGAGATTGAGAAAATAGTATGCAGGGGCTAGTGTTACAGCACAGAGGGTTAAGCCGCCATTTGTGACACCAGCGTCCCCTATAAGAGTGCTGGTTCGAATCCGGGCTACTCTCCTTCTGATCCAGTTCCCTGTTAATATGCCTGGGAAGCCGGTGGGTGATGGCCCAAGTATTTGGGCCCCTGCCACCTACGTGACAGTCCCAGCTGTTTCTGCCACTTGGGGAGTGAGCCAGCAAATGGAAGATCTCTCTGTCTCTGTGTCTCTCTTTCTCTGTCACACTTAATAAAGCACTCTTATAGAAGGCAAGTATTATTTACCATGCTTGCGTGGTGCCTGGGACATCAGGGCAGACCATACAGGCCAAGGCTGCCCCCTGCAGGCTGAGTGAGGGACTCCCAAGACCACGGCCCTCCCCTGGCCTGATCTGGCCGAGGCCCTGGGGGAGGCAGCCACAATCGTCAGACTCCTGCCCTCCTGGGGCCTGAGAATGTGGAAAGTCGGCCCTGGGCCAGAAGGTCAAGGCTGCATCCTGGCTCCAGGCTGCCGGCCTTTGGGCACAACGGTGCCGCCATGGCCTGTGACGTCGGGACGTCCCCACATGAAGCTGGTTCCAGTCCTGGCTGCTTCCAATCCAGCTCCCTGCTAAGGTGCCTGGGAAGGCGGTCGAAGGTGCTCCGAGTGCTTGGGTGCCTGCCACCCACGTGGGAGACCTCAACAGAGTCCTTGACTCCTGTATAGCCTGGCCCAGCTCCAGCTGTTGCAGCCACCTGGGGAGTGAACCATTGGATGGAAGATATGTGTGTGTGTGTGTGTGTGTCTCCCTCTCTCTCTGTAACTCTGCCTTTCAAATAAATAAATCTTAAAAAACAAAAACAAAACCCTGTCTCCAGCACTGGCCACAGTGTGAGCACAGCTGAGTGTCTTGGCTTTAACTGGGAAACAGCTCTACCCACGCAGGCGACGCCCGGCACACAGAGAGGGTTCCAAAATCACTAGCTCTCAGATTCTCAGAGCTGCAGCGGGCTACTCTGAAAGCTCCTCTCTCTGGGGGCCCCGGGGTCTCCGCCCCTTTCCTGCGTGGAGCCCCTCCTGCGGTCTGGCGAGCCCTGGCCGTCCCAGGAAATCAGAACGCACGGCCTCACCAAGGACCCCAACCGTGCCAAACTCCGGTCACCAAATATTTGCAGATGCCTGCCGCGAGTGTAGCGCGACACGAAAATCCCCGCGAGCAGTCCAGGGAGGCGGCAGGTCCCAGGCTTTGGGCTGGGGCCCGCGGGCTTAGGGGAAAGGAGTGTAGCGCCCCCTAGTGAGGACTGGCAGTAAGTGTGCGGTGGTTTCTGCTACAGATCCCCAGGCTGAGAACTTCCGGTTTGGGGGTACCTGGGCACAGGAGTTCTTTCAGGTGTGCTCTCTTGATTATGCAAATGCGGGCCGCTAGGCTCCCATCCTCTCACTCTTGAGATTTGGGCAGACCCAGGACTTGTGCTAGCGGGGCTTGGCAGAAGCTGGGGCGTCGCCCTGTGGGTGAGGGTCCCTGCGGCTCTCTGAAAGCAACTCTCCATCTCTAAGGTGTAAAGTCAGGGATGCCTGTCCAGGTGTGCTAGGGTGACCCGAAGATCCGCGGCAGGGCAGGGCAAAGAGTCCCCAAAAGGAAACCACCTGGATGAACAGGCTTGGCCGATGTAGAATCGACCACGCAGATGGGCAGCGGCTGAGGGCAGCCTGGGGCGTGGCTGATGCTGGACAGTCTTCCACTCCCGGCCGCCTGCCCCAGAGCCCGTGCTTTGGGAAGCGATGGCTGAGTCGGGAAGCATGTGGACTGGCAGGAGCTCCAGACCCGAACCGAGACCAGCACGGCACCCCGGCCTCTGGGGGCGGCAGCATCCTCCGAGCTTCCACAGCGACACCTGGCGACGGCAGCGAGAAACAGCAGCCGGGGGCTGAGGGAGCCCTCGTCCACCTTCCTGACTCCCTCGCAGGGGCCAGAAAGCAAAGCTGACCTCCACGTGGGACTACCGAGGAGCCCTGGTGTATCTCATTATCAGGGGCCACGGCAACGAATTAAGAAGATAAAAGATCCGAGTTAAGAGGGGGTCACAGCACTGGCAGCCTCACCACCCTCGTTCTGTGTCCACTTTCATCACCAGCCACTGTCTTCCCGCACCTGTGCTGTAACAAGAGCCCCTCTCAGAGGGGACCTTACTCAGCCTTATGTCAAAGCCTTTGGGGCTCCTGTCTCCCCAGAAAGCAGCTCCGCGGCCCAGCTGCTCCCTCCCAGCAGATCCTGCCTTTGGCATGGCTGGGATTTCCCTCCTTTCCACCCGCCTGTCTCTTCCTGCTGTTTTGCACCTGCTCTTAGGTGGGAAGAGGCGGCCCCTGGTTTAAGTGCTTGGCCACAGCTGATCTTCTTCCCAGGACTCTTTGCCTGGGGACCGGGAGCAGAGCTGTAGTTCAAAGAAATAACCATGGGAGGGACAGCTCCAGAAGCACCTCTATGCCTTTGCAAGTGCACCAGGAGGCACAGGTGAACTGCATTTGGAATCTGCAAACGGGCAAGGGGCAAGGTGGGGTGGACAGGCAGAGCGGGGGCTGGGGCGCCTCTATGTTGCTGCGCTTGGAGTCCACCTCGCTGGCCCCTGCCTTCAGTGAGGTCACCCCTCCCTACCCAGATCAGCCTGTGTCACTTGCCCTGTCTGGGAGAAAAGACTTGCTGGGGTGCTCCGTGTAGGGGGAGGCCAGAAAGTGAGCCCCCAAGATTGGTGCTGAGCTTCCCACGTGTCTCCCACTCTTTGTGCATGGAGAGGCTTTGGGCCAATTCCCGTGTCCACACCGAGTCCGGAGCACCACTGGTCCCTCCCCTGGGCTCTCCCAAACTAAACTCATGGTAGGAAGAAGAAAGACTGACTGGCGTCTGTGCCCACACCCGGAGACAACTCTGCCACACTCCATTGTCTTCCACCGAGGAGCCAAGGAGGATCATTGCCATCTGCTGTCCCTTCTGCTGGGTCAGAGTGATGGAGACCCAGGCCATTGTGTGCCACGCAAGCCCAGTGCGCTCCTCGTAAGACTGCGCTTTTTTTTTTTTTTTAAGATTTATTTATTTAGTTGAAAGGCAGAGATACAGAGAGAGAACAGGAAAGAGAGGTCTTCCATCCCCTGGTTCACTCCTCAAATAGCTGCAATGGCTGGAGCTGGGCCACACTGAAGCCAGCAGCCAGGAGCTTTTTCCAGGTCTTCCACATGGGTGCAGGGGCCCAAGCACTTGGGCCACCTTCTACTGCTTTCCCAGATGCATCAGCAGGGAGCTGGATGGGAAGAGGAGCAGTCGGGACTTGAACCAGCTCCCATATGGGATGTGGGCACTGCAGGCTGTGGGCTGTGGGCAGGACATGGGGATGCTCTCTTTAGGGGGGCAGGGAGGGAGGTTGTCAGGCTAGACCCTGCCCCTGAGCTTCAGAACCCTCAGAACGGCAGGTACAGAGCTCCGGGACCTTCCCACCTGGGCTCCTTGGGACGCCCTGGGCAGTCGGTTCTTGGACAAGACGTCTGCGGTGGTGTGACCAGCAAAGCCCTGTCACCCTGCCCCAGCCATGGAGCGCATGTTCCTCCCTTTCTGTGGTGGGGCTTGGAAGACCATGCAGCTGGCCTCTGGGGCCCAGTCCAGGGACTTGACCGTGGGCTGAGGCTGCGGCAGGAGGGCACGGAGGGGCAGGGGTGGGTGCTGGCGGGCACAGCGGATGGCCTGTGGCAGCGGGCACCTGGCCCAGCTGCTGTGGACTCGCCCCCCACTTCTCCCACGGGATTCTCACCTGTGCCGAAGTGTCTCCAGAAAGTCCCCTGACACCCGCCCCCAAGTCCCAGGTTGGGTGGGGGTGGGGTGGTCCCTGCTCTGTGTTCCCACAATGCATTGAGTGAGTGAGGGTCTTTGTTGCAGGGAACTCACTTGGGTCCCTTCGAGAAAAGCAGGTTTGTTATACAGAATGGATGGGACAATGGTTGCCAGCTTTATAAGTTTACTAAAAATTATAGGATTGGAGAGGGAGAAGGAGAGAGGGAGGGGTGGGGAGAGAACGCTTTATCGTAAGGGGAACACGCACATAAAGAGGCTGGGACTCTCAGCTCCAGGGCAAGGCTGCGTGGGAGCCCAGGTCAGGTCCACAGTGCGGCCTCCCCGGGCTGGGCCTCCAGGCGCAGGGAAGTTGGCTCAGGTCCAGGAGGGTGGAGAGGACTCCCGGGCGTCTGGGGCTCTACTCCGCCCTCTCTGTGTCCGGCCACCCCTGTTGCAGCTGATGGCCTGTGTGTCATTGGCAGGTGGCCTGTGCACCCCGTCCAGTGGTGGCCGCCTGAGGATGGGCTGCACCTGGGTTTCGGACTGGCGGCTGACCCAGCCAAGATGGCAGGAGAGATGGGGCCATGGGACGCACCACGAGACTGCCTGTGGGGCCGCCTGGCGCTGGTGCCTCCAGAGGGCCCTGGCAGGAGCGCGGAGGCTTCGTGTGTCTGTCCCCACCTCTCTCCTGGAGCTGCTGGCCGGGAAGACTTCCTGGCGCACAGTCAGGCTCATGGGTGCCATCCATGCAGCGCTCGCGCCACAGCGGCAGAGCTGGGTGGTCCTGGCCGAGACTGTGCGGCTCAGAGAGGACCGATGACTTTGGCCCTTTGCAAAAACAAATCTCCCCCAAGCCCTGCTCTGAACAGCTCCGGAGTGGGGGGAACTGGGTCCTATTCTGGATCCCTCAGCTTGCACAGAGAGCTTGACACATAGCAGGAGCTCCATCTACTGCGGAGACGGGACCTGGGCTGACTCTGTGCAGCCAACGTCCCTTGCTTGCTGCAGAAGGGGTGTCACTGACAGCACCCTCCTCTCTCCTGGCTGCTGAGCGGGGTGACCGGCTGTCCCAGGTTGCTTTCTCAGGACGCGTGACACTCGGTGCTAAAGCTCAGACAGTCCCAGGCGAGCTGGGACAGTGTGGTCACCTTCTGTGGGACCCCTGGCCTCACAACACTGGAGCACCTGCCTGCCCGGTTGATGCGCCCTGGGTCGCTGAGCTGAATTGCACGCCCAGCAGAATGAGGTGCACACCTCGCCAGCTCCAGAGGTGTGCAGAGTGAGCCAGTGCCTGGCAGTGGCGGGGGGCTGAGGAGGCACTGCGCTGGGAATTCTGGAGGTGCCAAGGAAAGCAGCAATCATCTCCCTGGACCCAGACCGTGGAGGAGGCTTCCCCGGGGGAGCCGGAAGCCATCTGGGCCTTGATGGGGTGAGGAGAAACCCATCACTAACCGAGAAGCAGGGAGGTGGTGATGCCACCGATGCGGCAGGCCCCCAGTGTCCACGCTGGGGCCCTTCCTGGGCAGCCTGGGCCATGTGCCCATGTCGGGGGGACCGTGAGGTGCCGATGGTGGCACCAAGAGGCCCCCGTGGAGTGGAAGGCGCACCTGCTAGGTGCCTGATGTTTTGGTAGGGACATGGCCGCCACACAAAACTGGGGGAGCACAGCCCTCCCGAGCCAGGGCGTGGCTTCCCTGGGCCCTGACTGCCCGCGTGGGGCCTGGCACAACTCTCCCCACGCCGCATTTGCTGTGATTCTGATAGCCGCGAGGTTCATTACCAGCAACAAAAAGACCAAGCCGGAGGCGATCCAACCGGAAGCTGTCCTAGGCTCTGCTCGGTAAGGCCTGGCCGGGAGCCCTGGGGACCAGAGTAGGAGCTGGGGCCCTGCTGGGGGGGTGTGCAGCTCTGCTTGTGAAGGGACCTCCCAGGGTGGGCCTGGGTCTCCCAGGGTCACAGGGCCTGAGAGGCGCCAGGGCTTGATGCCCCCCGTGGTGCCTGGGACCAGCGGCACACCTGAGAGGGTGGGCATCCCACCTCCCCCAACCACCACACAGCCCCCACCTCAGCACCTGAGGCCCCCAGGCCTTCCCTGGCCCCATTAACCGGGCATTTCTGAACACCTGGAGCTGCCCCATGGCCCAGGTTATGGGGGACTCCCTCAGAGAGGCCTGGGGAGCACCTAGGCTGGGGGGTTCGTTCTGACTGCCCCCCTGCAGGCCCACAGAATCCTCGAGGCCCCGGCGCTGTGACCCACCCGGTGGGGTGACATGGGGTGGGGACGGCTCTCCTCTGAAATACCGCCGACTCCCCACCTGTCACCTTCTCTTCCCTCTCCCCTCCCAGCTGATTTCGCCCAGAAAGGGATGCCTGTGTAGGTGCCTGGGAGGTCAGCTGCGGCTACACAGACCACAGGGGGTGCTGGCTGCTCCTGCCCCCATCCCCTGAGGGGAGCTCCAGCGAGAAGAGGGGTTGTGCCCACGGGTCCCACCTTCCGCAATGCACGGCTGCCCAGGGCCGTAACTCCAAGCCCATCCTGCAGCTCTGGCCAAACCCCGCCTCCCAGCTCTCACTGAGGCTAAGGGGGGAGAAATTAATTCGTGCTCCACGGCCCACCCCTCGGCCTCATGTCTAGCCAGCGGGGCTTCAAATAGACGTCCGGAGACCTCAGCACGTGCCCTGGCTGCTGGGCAGGAGGGCCTTGTGGATGGACAGGAGTGTGACTGTGACAAGCTCCTGGGGAAGCTACGGGAGACAGGGCAGGGACCACCTGCTGGCAGCCCAGAGCAAGGCGCGCGTGCACTTGGACCAGGCTGTGCTGCTGGCGCGGCCAAGGGCGTGTGCACAGCTCAGAGGCTGGGCCGAGTGCCTTAGACACTAAGGCCGAGTGCCTTAGCTGGAGGGGAGCGGGAGGGTCAAAGTCTCCCCAGGGAGGCGGACTGGTGCCAGGTATTGCCAGTGACCTTCCCGGCCTCTCCTCTCCCCACTGGCCTGCCCCAAACGTGGAGCAGCCCAGGAGCCTGGTGCAGGGGAACAGGCGTGGAGCAGGAGGCAGGGGCGTGGGCGAGCAGCTGGCCCCGTGTGGGTTTCCTGCGTGGTGCAGGTCTGCACCCAGGCAGCGGAGCCGTTCTGGCTTCCGGCGGCATCTGAAGTCTCACTGCTTTTCATAACTAGAAATCGCAGTCACTGAAATTGGATCTCTGTGGCTAAAAGTGACTCAAGGAATTTTAATTATCTTGGCTGGGCCAGAAAACACAACCTTTGATTTTCTCCAGGGTTAAGGAGGAGCCGATCTCACGGAACAGGTTTTAAAAGGAAGTGAGTGGGGAAGGAAGAATTAAGCTGTTTTTAGATTATACCCATGAATCAGATATAATACCCTTCAATTAAACTGTTATACAAGCAACAGGAAAAATTCTGGCTAATACTGGCAGCAAGGAGTTTACTGACAGGACACTGGGTGGCTGAGACTCGCTGGGGACACGGCTTCTACCACTGGGTGGCCACCAAGGGACAACAGAACCTGGAGGGGGATGCCCCTGCTGAACTGGAGCTCTTGGTGCCCCGGGGCCCCTCTCCTGGGATCCAGGATGCTCTCTCTCTGTCTCTCTGATTTATTTATTTGAAAGAGTTACAGAGAGAGAGGTCTTCCATCCCAAATGGCCACAATGACTGGGGTTGGGTCAGGCTGAAGCCAGGAACCTGGAACCCCATCCGG